AGTCCCCCTCCCTACAGGAAGCCACGACCACGTGTCACGGCTGGGAAAATGGCCCCGGGTCCTGTTTGTCACCTCATACCGAGTTCCCGAACGGAAACAAAATTTTGCGAACGGTGCTGTTCGTGACCCGAATTGTTCGTGAACAGAAGCGTTCGTGACCTGAGGTACCACTGTACTAAAGTGGGGGCTCCAGACTAAGTTAGGTTACCCATCCCAATATACAGATTCATAAACAGCAAACTGTGTTAGTTCTCATTAAAATTACTACTCAGTTAATTTGATCCACAATCCTAGATCAGTTTTAATTTTCAGGCCACAGCTTAGAGATAAAAGCAGGGTTCTGCCTATCCCATCTTTCCCTGTTCCGCCCACAAGAGGGCAGAATAGCTTTGTGATGGACTTTTTGCATGCCTGTCTTTTTGTCAGCGTTGACTCCTGGCGACTGCCTGGACTAGTCCCTGCGGTTTTCTTGGCAAGGTTTCAGAAGTGGCTTGCCATCGCCTCCCTCCTAGGGCTGAGAGAGAGGGACTGGCCCAAGGTCACCCAGTTGGCCTCATGCCTAAAGCGGGACTATAACTCACAGTCTCCCGGTTTCTAGCCTGATGCCTTGACCACTACACCAAACTGATAACATGCATTAAATAAGCACAATTGCAAATCTAAATTTATTTCTCCTGGAAAAGTGGGAAATAAAGGGACTGTTGCCTCTGCCTCCCTGAGATGAGGGTACCACCTCTGTCTCAAACTGACTAGGAAGAAAGAGGGGGTATCTTTCCAGCACTAGAGGAAATCAGTCTTCTGCATTTTTGCCAGCTCGTTTTCTGCTCCTTGAAGCCATTCAGGGGGTCTATGTGCATAAAAAGACTTGGAGATGCCCAAGGTGGTCTTTGCATTACATGAGTGCATAGTGCTTGCAGCTGATTCTCTCATGGTTATCTATCTGTTGGTCTATCTGTCTGTCTGTTCACCCACCTCATCCCGCCACATCATAACTCTCGGGGTGGCTGAGCTGGCTTTTGGAAACCGTTGTGGGGGAAAAGATCACACCGTAGGAGAAGACCAATCTGGCAGTTGTCTATATTCCTAAGAGGGCTACAGTGAGAAAAGTTACATTCTAGGCTTTCGGGGACCTAATTTAGTGCCCAGATGTTATGGAGAATAAGGCCCGATTTTATAAATCATGAGGGATTTGTTGTAGAGTAGGAACTTTTTGGGTTTATTTTAAAAACCAGAGTGACCATTGCTCCTGCTTACCTAAACTGGTGATTGTAACGCTAAGCTGAATGTTTTCAAACGACGTCTTTTGACTTACGTGTACAAAACATGATTCCCTCTAAAACTGGGATTTCTAGTGACGAGAAGGGCATTCTTTGAAAAGTTTTGGGCTTACTGTATATGGGATAGTAGTTCTTAATTTTCTTTTTCCCAAATTTTTAGGAATTTGTTCCAAAACATGCTGGGGGTAAGATAGCACCCAGCCTCCCAAGAGCTCAGCTTCATGAGTAGCTGAAACACATGTTGAAAATTAAGGAATAAAAAGGTGGGGGAAAGAACAATTATGCCAACAATGGTAATCCAGGTTCTTGAAAAAAAAAAAATTCTGGCCCACACTGAGAAAATGACAATATTGCCCTTTCCCCATGTCACTGCTTGTAATTTGTGAGGTGGGGGAGGCAATTCTGATTAGCTCTCCTGCTTCTGCTCAGTATTTTGGGAGTCTGTGACAACACAGTCTGACTGTATTTTTTGGTTCTTCACAGTATGGACGCATCGCCAGTGACTGGGCCCAGGCGATCTGACGAAGACTGTGGGATTCCACTTTTCCTGCTCCTGTTCAGCTTCTCTCTTTGCCACAGTTATATTTATAATATGGTTCTATAGCTTTTCCAATTTTGCCTTCCATTTTGTCAGAATTTGGACTGACTGACTGCCTGATTTGGGAGAACTAACATGTCCCTGATATAAACCCAGGCTCTTTATGGCTGTGAAACACTCCGCATCAGGAAGGCCCCGGACTCAGAAGAATTCCAGATAAACCTGTCTGTGAGGGAAATGAAGCTTTGAACATTGTGGCTTCCTCTGCTTCTCTCTCTCAGCTCCAAAACTCAGCTGCTTTTTGCTTTTAAGTGCAATATTGAGAGAGAGTGGGAGAAAGAGAGGGGATCTGAATGTGGGGTGTCTGCAAAGCTCTTATACTCCATGTGCATGTTTGCCTTTTTTTTAAAAAAAATAGTTGCTTGGATTCATGTAGAGAAGCACATGTAAAAAAACATGTACTCAAAATCATAATGCTCTTATAAAAGTTTTCATTTTGGTATCTTCACAGTTGGGGCTAAATTTTTAAATTTGGGTTCCTGTATCTTAAACTGCAAATTTCCAGAAGTGTGAAATTGTTGTTTAATATTTATGACTCTTCACTTTCTATGTTAAATCCACTGGATAGGTAAAAGAAACCTTAGATGTTCAGAACTAATGTTGGACTATGTTTTGAGAGCCACAGGTGGCTTTTTAAGATAGAAAACTATTTAAAATTAAACTGTATCTCGGAGAAGGCTCTTGCTACCCATTTCTGACTTCCTCGCTCAGCGTAGCAAGCCATGCCTATACGCAGTGCCGTTTCAGATAGTTCTAAGTCATGTGATGGCCTCCCAGAATTCTCTGAGCCAATCATTTGAACGTAGCGTCTCTGGACTAGAGGGTCCTAGCAAAAAAAGTACCTCCATTATCATTAGGGTTGTAATTTACATATCCCACAAAGCTGGGGAACACAGCATGGTGTCCAGGGTCATTCCCTTGGTAGCTGCTAAGCTGTCTCCTCTGTCTGACTGTTAATGTGTTTTTAGACCTTTTAATTAAGAAAAAAAAATAGAAAATTGGTATACTGCAAAGTAAAACACCACCCTCCAGTACCAGCATTTTCCAGGAATGGTCCTAGAAGGAGTCCATAGGCATTTTTAGAAAATAAAATTATTGGCTGGCTGTTGCTAAGGCTAAATACTTGCTGTGGAAGGGTCCTACCTGTCTAGAAAAAAACACAAAAGAGAAGCTTGGTGTGGTGGTGGTGTGGGGGCTAGAGATGATGGTGGACAACATTTTTCCTAGTGGGGTGTAGAAGTCTGATAGCCATAGAGGTGATCCAGTTGTATTGCAATTGTTTCATTTGAAATGGCCATTTTGACCTCCAAACAGGATTGTTTGGAGGTCAAAACACGCCAGAACAGCTAAACGCTTGGTTCTGGCCTTGAAACAGTTTGCCTCCTGGTCAATAGTGATCTCCAGCAGCGGTCCATGGAACACCAATGGTCTGTGGAGAACCACCAGCATGAGCATCTACTGAGGGGGCAAAGGGGTGGGGGGGAGAGATTGCCAAATGTGTGTTGCAGCATTGCAATGCAAAAACTGCTCTTTTTGTACTTACATTGTGGCAGTACACACAAATATATAAGTGGGGAAGCTGCACTGTGACATCACAACTCATTGTTATTTACATAAAATATCTGGTTGCTGAGGACACTGCGGCATCATATTAACTGGTCAGTGGCTACTTGTTACACCACCCACTGCCTCTCTGCATCTCCAATCAGCTGGCGGCTGAAACTTGGTCCTTTGAACTAAGGAAGTGATAATACAACTAACAACTTAAATACCAGTATTCAGAAAAATAACACTACAGGTAGTCTTTGCTTAATGACCATTCATTCAGCAAATGGTAGTTACAACTGGTCCTCAAAGTTATGACCACTGCAGTGCCCCTGTGATCATGTGATCAAAATGACTGCAACAGGGACTACTAGAACTGCCATTGCTAAGCAGTACAGTCATGTGATGTTTCACCTAACAACCACTTCAATTAGTGATGGAAATTCTGGTCCCAATTAGGGTCATTAAGTGAGGATTACCTGTAGTGAGTTGGTCTTGAATATAGTTACTGACTGTGAGTCCAAATGTGCTGGGCTGAGTCAATCTGTGACCTTGTTCAAGTAATCCAAAAAGAGAAGTACAAAAAGAAAATGTGATGTTTTCTAAAAAAAGGGATTTCATTGGGCTAGAGATCCAGTTGCCCCCAGCTTCTCAATCTGCAGGTTTTTGTTGAAGAATGTTCTTGACCAGTGAGTGCATACTAAGAGTTGGTATTACAGCACAGGCTCCATAATTCAAATGGGAAATAGACATTTCATTTAGGATTAATTTGGAGGGTACATTTTAAGAAGGCCTTTACACACTGTGCAACAATCAGTCCCCAAATATTGGGAAACAGAAAGCTTTTGGATCATGTCATTGGGGATCTCTGAGTAAAGCTGCAACCCCAACTTGTGGAGATGATGGCTCCCCTAAGAATTCAACTCCAGAAGGATGCTACCGTATACTAGAAAGAGAAAAGTGAGACTACTATCATTGTGAATCACGTAGCCCATAGTATATGATGCACACTCGGTGCACTTCGGAATTCTGTAAAACCTGGGGTGGGGGTAGATAGAAGGTTCTTAGCATTTGATATCAAAAAGATGTCTAGGTATCTCCAACTCACCTATCTCATTGGAGTTTTGTTTTATTTATTTAATTTTTTTTGGAAAGCAAAAAAAAAAATAATGAAAGGAGTAATGGGAAAAAAGTAAGAGTTCATACATGGAAGATGAGCTGATACCGAGACCAAATGTAGGCTGACCTGCAAGAAGTACTCTTTAAATATTATTAGAAGCTCATTATCTGTCATCCTGAAATGCACAAGATAATACATTTATTCTGGGTTCAGCAATATGCTTTAGACCAAAACAGCAATCATGGTCCTTCCGCATTAAAATTCATTCTTGGTTATGCTGCCCCAAGACTCCTTCCTTCCTTCAGCAGAGTAATTTAGGACAGAAGAGAATCATTTTGTTCTACATTCATTAGAAATCAAGTGTCTTTCCTGAATTATATCAAACCATCCAGAGATCTGCCAATACCTTGTGATCTAACATCTGCCTAGTCCTGGTTTAAACCTAGTGTAAAATTCTGAGAATGAGTTAGGGGATTTCAGAACAGAATGGCGTATGCGGAAGCATCATGTGTAGGTTTTAAATGTGGTATTGTTCTTTGTCAGCCACTCAAAAATGTCTGAAAACTTGCTTTAGAATTTCTCTGCAGTAGGATTAGGGTTTAATTTAGAGTTCTTGATAAAAAGAAGTTGGAAGAATTAAAGCCAAGTAAACATTCATTTTTTGTTTGAGTGGAAGCATTATTTCGAAATTATGTAAAAGGAACAGGATTTTGTGTGTCCTGCAGATCTCATCTTCTGTTACAGAAAAACAGTAATAGAATCTGAAAGTGATGAGGGCCAGAAAAATAGCATGTTGGATATATAACCGATTTATGTCTTTCATCTTCAATTCAGGGTACACGGTCAAAGCTTGTGTTCATACACAGATCTCCACTGGGTTGGGGCACTGATATTTTAAGTTCATCCATCACCAAGGAAATAAACTTCTGTTTTCCAAGAAATTCTGTGGTAGCTATTGGTAGTGATACAACTTGGAGAGAGAGGAGAGATGCTCAGAATAGACATGTCTATAGTTAGTTTGTTGATAATGGATCATGGGCATATATGTTTTCCAAGAAAACTGCCTCTTTGACTTGCTTTTGAAGAAATTCAGATGGTGCTTCGCATCACATCCATTTCAGAAGCTTACCTAAAATGACCAGGCCCTGCTTAGATTTGAGATGAGTGAAGGTTGGCTGGACACTGCCACTGGGTGACCAGAAGTAGTAAGACTCTATAGGGCTTATCATCAGCTCCATCAGTGACATCACTTCCAATTCCGTACCAGAAGGACCTCTGATTGGCTGAAAACAGGAAGTGATGTCACAGAAATGAATATTCATATTTTTGGCCAATCGGGGCCCTTCCGGTATGGAACCGGAAGTGACGTCACTGATGGAGCTGATGATAAGCCCTGTTAAAATTTAGTATGCACTCTTACTACTAACAGACAACATAAGCATGAGAAAATGCAATCTTTGAGGACTGCTTAAGAGGGCAACTGAGGCCAAACGATTGCCAGGAATTTACATGGATGTATCCATGTAAATTCCTGGCAATCATGTATCCATCATGAAGTCACCAGAAGGTGAGCTTGACCTGAAGGAGACATTCCCTTTTATGATATACAAATGACCCAGACACTCTTCACTGATTAACAAGGCCTTAGGGATCCGTTTTTATCTTGTCCTCTACCAATCTAAGCAAGTTCCTCATAACCCCCTCTGCCCTGTCTAAGGGCAGTTGCCTTGGGAGCCACTGAAGAGGCATTGGTGGCTCCCAAGACCTGAAATGAACGAATAATCCAATTTTTATTTTTTAAATTGTATTATTTTATTTTATTTATAAGCTGTCCAACTCCTAAATGACTCTGACTGGCTTACAATTAAAAAAAACAGCCTATGAAAAGAATACAACAGCTAGAAGAGCAAAATAAAAAACCAAAAGAAAAGAAAACCAAAAGAAAAGAAAAGAATTTTAAAAAGGTCTCCACAGTCACCCAATCCCCAAAGCCTGGGAGAACAACCAGGTCTTCAATAATTTCCTGAATGAAATAAGAGTGGGATTTAAAATGTAATCACACTGGTTGAGCTGCAAAATGGATAGACCCAGCCGTACTGTGGGGCAAATGGTGCAAGGCGCCATGGGTGGCAAACTGTTGCACCATGATAGAGCAGCTGGATTTGGGGGATCTTTTTAAAATCTTTACTAAGGAATTTGGATCCCCTTCTTCCCCAGGACTCACATTTGTCTCCAACAGCCTTGCAACAGGGATTCCTCTTCCCCAGTCAACGCTGAAAGAAAGAAGTGTTCGTATTCAGCCAATGTCATTTTTCCAGATCATCCCAGGAGACCAAACTAGGTGGCTGGTTTGCCCTGGTGTCATTGATTTCCCTCCGTCCACTTTCTACAGCTGTTTGCTGAAGAATGAGATAGGGTAGATGCTGACAATACAAGAATGTTTGCTAAAACTGATGGGAATGGCAGAAAATGATAAACTGACTTGTTTATTAAAAGAAAAAT